GACCACAATGCTGACGCTGACGCAGGCGGCGACCTTTCATCCTCTGCAGCTGTCGGCTCATGTGGGGCAGAAGCGCTGAGTGGTGACTGACGTTACTTTAAATTCAAATACAGTAAATGAAGTGTGCGACTGTGGGTTGAACTGACGATAAACTTCACGGTACGAAGCACGTGCAATCGCTAATCGGTCGTTTCTGTGGTGGTTAAAGAGACACTTTCTCAGTTTCTGTTGGAAGACGTCCAGCGGCGCTCTGAGCACAGAAACGGCAAAACCCCGTTTAAAGGGACGGCAGCAGAGCAATCACACGAGTCAAAGTTAAAGTCAGATCATTGGTCATTATAGTTTACCACAGTGGAGAAATCTGCAGCAAAGAGGATGCAAAAAAAACAATAAATTATGGATATTATAGAAAAAATAAACAATGAAAGTATCGCCGACATTGTAGAGATTCTTGTTCATGTAGAAATTCAAATATCAGATTTCTCTGAATGTGGAAAACGATCATGCAGCACAGATTTTTCCATGAGCACAAAATATGGATATTTTTTAAAAAACTACTGCAGAGACACAGAAACATGGCCGCTGTAGTAAATCAAGCATTCACAGCAGAAGAGGACGAACAACTCAGTGGATATGTCGACTAAGTTTTAAAGTTTTATTACAACTGACATAAATTTGCAATAAAATTAAAATCTTATGGTCAAGATTTTATATTAAAAGCTCCAAACGTGGTTGAAATGCTTTTGTTCATTTATGTTTAATTAAAATAGAGCTTTTCAACATTTATCCTTCAGTGTTAATTGGCTGCTGATCATGAAAAGCAACCAATCAGACAGAGTTATGTGCGGGAGTTTTAAATATATTAATTTATTACAAATCTGTTAAAAAAAAAAAAAAAAAGATCCAAATACTAGTCGACAGTAACTGGACTGTGTGCTGCAGCTCACTGCTACAGAGCAATATGTCCACACTGGAGCTATATTTAAACTACAAACACTCATTATAAACTATTTTCTTAGCTGATAGTGTTATTAATAAATCAATCAATTAATCCATTTCTGCCACAGATATTTCATTTTGATAATCTGCTCATTTTCTTCAGCCTAATCCTGTAAACAGGCTTGTTTCTTCGTTAGGAGGTCATTAGCTGATACACATATCTCTGTCACGGTGCCCGCTGCTCGCTGAACAAACACTAAAAATAACCCCATCATCCACAAGAATCACACTTCAAACACAACACAGCCCAAACCACGATCACAAACCCGCTGACTCAACAGTTCAGATTTGAACATTAACCTCTCTAGGATCCTCTGTAATCGGTTAAATTATTAAATGGCAGGTGATTGATTAACAGCTGATCATTAACGTGTATTATTCAGACTCTGAAACAGGCCACGGACAACAAACACCTGTTTAGTGCAAGAAAACATGAAACGCTGAGTTTTGGACACAGCAGATGACCAGAGAGCTGTGGCTTCACAACAGAACAACAAGAACCTGAACTGGATTTACAGGTAGAGTTCAATCTGACTAATTTAGAGACTCTTTCCTCAAGAGGGCTTCAGAAATCTGCACATGACAGCAGAAGCAACAGTTCAGTTACGTGACAGCAATTTAAAGGCCAGACAGTATTACCGTAATACCTGGACTATAAGTTGCTACTTTTTTCACATGCTTTGAACTCTGTGGCTTCAACAACGATGCGGCTCATTTATGGATTTTTGTGTGCAGCCTGTATATGTACACACCTGGTTTTCTTTTTAAAGTTAGTGGGTGTGGCTTATATTCAGGTGCTCAATAGTCTGAAAATTACGGTATTTTTAAGGGTTTAATCAACAAGCAGGGAGTGGCTTCAAGAGTTTCCATCGAGTATAAAGTCAACAAACATGTTTCTGTTGCTGCACCTCGTCTCTGTGATACGACAGCAGTTCTACAAAGCTCGGTTTTGTTCCACACGCTACAGCAACAAACCAGCATCTTTTGGATTTAGGCACTCCAGGATGAAGCACCAAAACAGAGAGAAACTGATGCACCAATTTCTCCAGACTCGTGGGGACAAACACACAGCTGACTTGTTAGAATACAGGATGGGATGTTGAATAAATCGAACCAGAAAGTAAATCAGACAACCACAAAGAGATGCAGGACTGAGGAGTGAAATAACAATCACCTGTGATCACCAAAACATTAATCTGACTGTTTGTGGTGGAGTGACGTGGAGACAACACAACTTTTCACTCATTTTAATGTGACTGTAGCCGATTCAGCCGTCCAGCTGCTGTCGTTAACCTGCATTTAGCTTCATTTTACAGTGTTTTCACCCCAAAACACCACATCTGTCTGCAGCAGCAGCAGCAGCAGCAGCAGCTCACTTCTTCGTCTTTCTCTCCGTTCAAGCAGGCAGGACAACTTCTGCTCGTCATGAGCCAAAACAAGCATCTCTGCACAGCCTTTACAGTACACGCATTCACACACGCAGCATGCAAAGACGGCAGCAACACAACGCAGCAACACAACACTGTATGGGAGCAGCGTAACCGCCAGCTGCAGACTTGCTCTCACTCCTGTATAAATTAAAGCATGGCATCACCGACACGTTCGGCAGAAAACACGACGGCAGAAGAAGAGCCGCTTTGTCTATTGTGTTCATCGGCAAGAGAAAACAGTTTGTGCAACCGTTTGACAAAAACAGGACCGATGGAGCGTCACCGCGTCACGCAGACGGAGCTCGAAACCAACTTCAATCAAACTGAAACAAACACAACAACCGACAAGAAGAAACACGGCAACGCTGTTTGTAAGCAGCAAAATGAACTTGTGTCACCGTTGAGCTCCTCAGTGAGCAGGAGGAGGACGACGCAGGTGCAGCTTTAACTTTACAGTCAGTATTTTTCTGCAATTCATCAAATCAACATGAACACTGTTCCAGTAGCCTCGTCTCACATCATTCCACTTCTGTCTTTGCTCTTTCTGCAGCAACATTTCACACGAGAAGGAAATAATGACGCTGTTTTAATCTGAATCACCTCAGAAAGACCAAAACTGCGTTGCAATCGAACTGCTTTACAGTCACAAGAAACAAAACAGCATCTCCTGTTTGGACTCAACAAATCAGCAGACAAACAGCAGAACCGTTTCATTTAACCCTGTGAACCCCGAAACATGTTTGACAGCCGTGTAATCTTAAGCAAACGGCAAGAAGACAGGATTTATGTCAGATTTCCAGCGCTGCTCGTGTGCAAAACTGTGATATATGATCAAAATCACTTCATTCTACATTTCTCTTCTTAAAAATTCTCCAAAAATAAATTGACAAATTCTGTACAAAACAAATAACTCTGCCCGACTTGCTGCAACCACGAAGACATCAGTGGCTCAGCGGTGACCAACAGTCACGCAGCAAAGATTCTGGGATTGTTTGGCTGAACTGCAGGCTGTGTAGGCAACAAACGAAACATGGAAGTGGTGAAATATCTACAGCATGGAGAGTTTCCGTTTTTGTTTTATGGTTTCAGTCACTCTAACTGTGTCAGCCTGCACAGAAGATAAGTTCTAGTCGTGGTTGTTCTGCTTCCATTGAGGCGCAGGACTTCATATTGCAGCAGAAAAACGAGACCACAGCGAGGAGAAACGTGACAGGAAATGCCTTCAGAGTGCCCGGGGTTCAGAGGGTTAATGACGCTTCAGCACAGGTGCAAACTCACCTTTTAAATTTTTCGGGTTGTTCTGTTTGGTGCGCGGCATCTTTCCGCCTCAGTTCACAGGTGCATCTTGGGAAAAGTGGGATTTAACCTTGAGGAGAGTCGACTCCTGAGCCACAGTCTGGGTGCATCTGCAGGAAAACACACATGGAGACAGCGTTAGAGCGGCTGATTGAGTTTGTTCCTCTAACAGGTGCCTCGGCAGGACTTTTCACTTCATCTCCTGTCAGCTCGGCCTGCTGTCAGTGGGAGGAGGCGTGAAAATGTTCCCCACATATCAATATAACCTCTGCAGCAGCTGCTATCTGATCACTGGGAGGTGGAGGTTCGCTGCTGTTTACGCCAAACGTCTGACTGACACGGCGGCGGCTGATAAAGAGCTGCTTCACTTTGACAAACGTCACCACGCCAACAATAAGGTCGTGTGTGGCGGCAGTCAGCTGTCAGGAATCCTGCTGCTGGAGTTAGACCGAGCCCAGATTCACGGTTTCCTCTCTGCCCGAACCACACGTCAGCATCACTACAGCTGTCATGGTATCATCCTGGTCTGCAGGAAGCGGCTGAACAAGGTGGAGACCTCAGAGCCACCTGGCTAACAGCTCACCTCTGCAGAGGGACACCTCAGACCTCCTGCTCGCCCTTGCATCCTCCCTTCATGTCCCCAGAACAACCCAAACCTGTGCATGGTGCAGCAGCTCCAGGAAGCAGCCTTTGTCTCAGCAACATTACATAACACTTACTACAACCGTAGGACGGTTCGGCTCCATACAGTTGGTACATGTGGCGCTACAGCAATGACATCATCTCACGGCGGCTCTGCTGCACCAGGTCGCGCAAAAACACGAAGAGACGCACGAAGGACTCCTCACCTGGAGGCAGGAGAGACGGCTGTCTGTCCGTCTGTCCGTCTGAGGAAACACCCTGCTACTGACGCCACAGACACGCCGGTACAACAGCGAGCAGGTGACTGATGGATCCGGTCACACCTGAGGATCGATTATGTAAACGCGCTGAGAGCTGCTGCTGATGCAGAGCCGCTGCAGGAGGCTGATGAGCAGCTGAATTAAACTGTGGTTTAACTGCATGCAATGAAGTCAGCAGAAACCACGCGTGGGAATAGCGTATTTTGTGCCTGTTGCAACACGTGAACGCCCTGCGAGGGAGGGAGGAGCCTGGGAAAACCCCTCACCGTCTCTGCTACAGCCCGAACGGGACGCTGGAGATCCGACAAAAAGCTCCGCGCATTAATCACAACATGAAGGCGGAGATCAGCAGCAGCTTCCCCGCAAACAGCAACAAAGAGCTGCGCAGCGCAGCGCGGCTTGTCCGCCCGGAGCTCCGCTGCTGCTGCAGGATCCCACAACAACACTGCGCAAAAAGCGCGGCCGCCTCTCCCCAAACACGGAGCCTCAAAGTTCACGGCGGCTCAAACCGGACGGCGGCTCGAGCACGTCCGACTCTCTGCGGCTGCAGCCGCCGACTCGACCTGTGTGACGGGGGCAGAGCGCCGCTGCTCCGGCCGCGGTCCGAGCAGGGCGGCGGGTCGGTACTCACAGGTGCGGGTCGAGCCGGTGTCACGGTAGTAACACACCTTTAGTGTGAGGAAGGTCCGGCTCTGTTCTGCTTCACCTTCTCTCTCACTGTCTATTGCAGGAAACCGACAGGCCCACTGACGTCAGCGGGGGTCCCGTCTCCGCCTCCCAGCCGCGGGGTGTCCTCCCCGGACGGCGGGGGGCTCCCGACGGCCGCGCGGCTCGCCCCCGCCCCCGTTCGTTCCGCTGCGCCTCCTCTCGGCCGCGGCCGGTGTGGCCGGTCGGGAGCCCCCCTGCCGGACCCCCGCCCAGCTCTGACTGCACATAGTTTAGGACTGACGGTTTTCCCGGAGGTTCCTTGTTGTCAGGTCACGTTGTGCCCCTCCGCCACTACCGACCGGGCTTCCCCATGCACAAACCCGCAGCAGGGGCTGAACCGCGGGTCTCCGTGCTCCGTGTAGGACCGATGCCCGCGGTGCTAAATAACGCAGACAGATGAAAAGGTGCCAAAAAACCCTCCCACAGATTTATGGGATTTGTCATCCAAAGTAACCGCGTCCTAAAACATAAAGTCAGTGAGCTTAATGAGCCTCAGGAAGCAGTTAGAGGTGCGCAGACTCTGGAGGATTCTGGAATTTTAAGTGAATAAATTATATCTGATTGGAATGGAAATTCCAACAACGAAAATAAAAATTATAAATAATAAAAATCTGGCAGCAGCGGAGCCAGAGAACATTCCAGAGCTACAGCAAATATCTTAAAATATATATATTTAGCCGATAAATTCAGCAAAACTGTAATTTTGCAGTAACAGATTGTAAAAGAACAAATTACCACGTGGATGTGTTGTACAGTTCTGGTCTGTTATTGTTTATCTATATGAATATATATAATTCAGATTAACCAACAACATGTAAATAAATGGTTGTTTTCACTGATTTTACTGGATATCTTTTGTAAAATAACAGTAAAAGATAATTTCTGTTTTTAATATACACATGTTTTTCTTTAAATAATGGCAAATACCTGTAAAATAATTACATTTTTGCTATTTTACATTTTTTAGAAAGTGTAATTTTATGGTCAAACATTGCTGTAAAAGAATAATTTGCTACTTGAAAAAATACAGATTTTTGATGTGGATCTTAAGTAGAATTTTGGCCCGATTTTATTTCAGTTAATATTTAAATTAACACTTTGTCCTGTGATTTTACCAGCTATTTGTAATTTAACAAACCAGGGAAAATCCCTCTAAAAGAAAGAAGAAGAAAAAAAACTAAACTAAAATATTGTAAATTGTTCCAAAAAAATGCATTTAAATGTTTTATTATTTTTTTTTACAAGATACAATAACAGGTTTAAGAATATATAATTTTTTTTAAAGTGCTTTTTAAAAAATATATGTATACTCATTTAAACAAAAAGGCATAACACTGTCTGGTACCTGCTTCTGCAATGTCCAATTAACGTTTGCTAGTTTTTTGTTTTCTCTGTTTGTGTGAATATGTGGATCTTGTCCTATATTGGTGGATATATTTCACAATCTTCTGTAATCATCAGTTGATCACTAACGTAGGAAACTCCAGACATACGGATAATAAAAACCGTCGCCTGGGTTGGTGTGACGACAGGATGGCTGAGGGTTTTCTGTGTTCATTACTCAACGCAGAAAACAATTAAAGCAATTCATGAAACAATTTCACGACCAACAAGCACAACATGAACTAAAACAACAAAAGGTAGAACTACACTTTGAGATGGACCCACTGCACCTCGTACACTCCTCAGCGTTCTGCCACACAAGTAGACATTATCACATAATCACATTAACCCTGGACCTGCTGCCCAGTCAGTAATCCCAGTTTGACCAGCAGCACCAGTAGCAGCATGAGCCCATCTGTCATGTCATTGGTTGTCTGTCCACCTACAACTCATTTGCATACAGCCAATCACAACCTTTCATTTCTTTACTTACTTACTTACAAACCAGGTTAACTAAAAACTAATGGTTAAATGCAGCAAACATTACATTTACAACAAGTTCTCTCCTTTAGTGTTGTCCTCCAGAAGGACACGTTTTCCATCTTTCACCTATGACTTGCTCAATAAACTCACAAATATCCATCAGGACAAGCACACTTTCCAGCTCATGTCATTCCTGCAGGCTAGTTAGCAGTGAGCTAGTTATGCTAGTTATCTGGAACACTGTGAACAGCTTCATTTTTTGTACCTAGAACTTTAAAAATTGCATATTTTACATGAATATTGTTGAACATAATCTTCAGCATCACTGTCCGCATTAAAAGAGCAGTTAGCATAGAAAAGTCATTTACAACGCATTTGTTTACCTGCTCGTCTTGCTAGCTCAGCGGATAAACATGAAGCTAACAGCTCACCAACACACTCCGAGGCCAGAAGAGCAGGAGATATGTCAGAAAAGAGACCGAATAATATTTGTTCAGAATCATTAAAGATGAATCAACATTATCCTAAAATAAAAACAACATTTAAATTGATTTCTGTCACTTAGATGTTCAGGACTGACACTACACAACATGAAATCAGCTAGTCTTTCATAATTAGCACGAAGCTAACACCAGGTCAGTATTTTTGGATTTGATCAGGAAAAAAATGACACAAAACATACAAATCTACACATCTAGCTGTAGAGTCAAACGTGTTGCATTATGTTTTCAGTGACCTTTGTGAATTCACACTTGTGGTTCCTCCGGCTGTAGCTCACATTTGCAGGTTAGCTACCCATGAGCTTGTCATGCTAGTTAGCCGGAGCCCTGTGAAGAGCCTACAGGTTGTTTTCTTCCCCCAGAACTGGAAAAATCTGCCACTTTAGATGCTGAGAAGTGTTAAAAAAAAACATATTTTGTAGTACTACCAGCACGACATGAGCTGTTAGCAAATAAATTTAATTTACTCTGCATTCGCTGTCCTTGCTAGCTCGGCTGTCAAACACGTAGCTAGCAGCTCATCCTGAGAATCTGAGGCTAAAAGAGGAGGAGATATGTCCAAACAGACTTTGTAATATCGGTTAAAACTTACAGAACGGGCAACCAACATCATTATAAAGTTAAAAGGAAAAAAATGGCATTTAAAACATTTTTGACATCAGAAATAGTCCGATTTCTGTCACTCAGATGTTCAGGATTGATACTATGCAAGAAAAACAAGCTCATCTTTTCTAATTCTAATGAACATTTTAGCATTTGATCAGATAAGAGCGACAAAAAAAGCACAAATCTACAGGTCTTCCTCTGCAGAGTCAGATGTGTTGCGCTGTGTTTCGCATGACCTTTGTGAATTCACACTTGTGTTCCCCCCCCAACTTTAGCTCATATTTTCCACTGCAGCTTCATCTGACTGTTCAGGCTCTCAGTGACAAACTGCCTGCTTGGAGGGAAATTTCTCTTCTTGCGCCGTTTCCTTTAATAAGCATGTGAGAATACCATCAAACGATATTACTGCGTGTTCTCTCAGCCCACTCGGCTACAGAAAGGGCTGTAAAACTGCTCAGTGTGCTGGGGAACTGTTGAAGTAAGTTGATTATGATTTCATTTGAATCGCGGCTGTCTCGGTGTGGTCTGCAGCAGAAGCACTGCAGCGGTTGCCTGGCTGCACTGGTGTTGTTATTTTTATCCCGTGTCTGTATTCCTGGATCTATGGCCACGCTGTGTGAGAGTTGGATCGGTCCAGCTATGACACATCACTGAACGAAAAAGGTCACGCTATTTTTTACCCCCGCGGTCAGAAATAGCTCTCGGATAAATGCGTAAATAAATCGAAAGATTTCACCCAGCAACCAGCTGCCTGTACAGAAACGTGTTCCAGAGCAGCAGAATGTGGACGAAAGAATCCCAGAGTTTATTCATAATATAGATAATTAACATTGGGTTTTATTTCTATTGCAGGAACACACTAGACACCCCAGTGACACTAATAAAAATATTGTCCTAAATAAAATTGTCCTCCTGCATACTGTTGTTTACATTACACATGATGCAAAATTGCACCTTTTCAGGTGATAAAAGTTTACATTCCTGCACACTGAAGGTATTTCTATTCATTTTTGGGATTTATAAACCTTTGTTTCCATGTACTGCTAATGTGACGTGTAAAACTGCTTCTTGTTTGTCTTATAACACGTAAAACCAACTGCTTTAAAATCTACGTGTTCCTTCTTCCTGTTATGCACTAAGAAGTCAAATTCCTCGTATGTGAAAACCTACATGGTGATAAAAACCTTTTCTAGTTCTGATTTCTAAACTAAACTGCAGCCTGTACTATTTTTTAATACCACGTCAGTAGCTGCAGTTGCTGCACAAAGAGTCTCAGAGAAACACGGTGTCACCCGAAGAAACTTTGCTGCAGTGAGGCAAATCTCGCCATTAATAAGTTATTGTGTGACAGCCACCCACCTCCATATCACAGGCTTCCTGCAGACTGCAGAGTGGGACTCCTGGCTCACTTGAGCTTTATGACTCACCTGTTTCAACTGCAAAAACTTAAAATGGCACATTTGAATAGTGGAACTTTTTTTTTTTTTCCTGCCTTTCTGCACCAACAGGAGCGAGCTGTTGTCTTTTCACCGATCTGAACAGTGATGCAGCTGCTCTGTCCGTGTGAGGATTTATCCTCCGTGAATGAACGAGGGCTGCCGTGAACACATAGGTGGTTCAGCTCTCTTCTCTCTCAAACACAACAAGGGTTTGTGACAATTAACATCACCTAAAATGGCAGCTGCTGCTGTCGTCGGGGCTCCTCGCTTCTCTGTGCGAGGCTGCTGTCTGCACACCCACAGAAAACACAAGTGTTTTTGGTTTTTCAGTGCAGGATGAAGAAGCCGAGGAGGGGGAGTGTGTGTGTGTTTTTACATAACCACATTTTTCCTGAGAAGACAGCTTGTTTGGTTTGAGCGAATGCAACGCCAAGACTAGAACAATTGTTTATTAATTGAGCCCTCGGCTGGCCGCCTGTTAGCCAAAGTCAACGTGAGCTCAGATCAGATCAGAGTTTTTCGGCGGTTTAAGTTGGACTCGATCCAGTCGCGTCTTCAAGGATCAGCAGAAATGTAGAATCGCTGTGGACGGATTGTAGATTTATCGTAAAACACT